TCAGCTCCAACTCGCCTCGTTTTTGCTGCATAATCTGCACTCACCGGAGCCACACCGGCTCAGAATATAACAAATGTAGCCCGTGTTACATCTGTCACCTCCCTGGGACGTCTCACTTAGTCTCATCATTTCCCCCCCCCCTCATCTCTCATAAGCACGGCTAATAAAATGTAAAGATGGGAGATAGTGCACCGCTGACTGAGTTTTATTAAGAACATAATGGCAATATCCCCGCTGTAATGATCTAAGACGCAGAGCGGGCCGTCCGAAGGAAGTGGGCATGACATCACAGGGAAAAAAGTCTGTTCTGCTTGCTTTATTTCATTATATTGGTTGAGCTCCCTTATTAGGGACGAAGGGGGGGACAAAGCAGCTCTGCCTTTGATAAAGCAAAGCAATTTCAGCTGCTGTTATAGCGGCAAATTACAGTTGTACATCATGTAGCTCTCTCTCTCTCTCTCTCTCTCTTTTTTTTTTACTTCCTAAACTTCTCTCACGTTCTCCTTCTTCTCCAGGTCTCTGCGTGCGAAAAGTCCTCGGTGTGGATGTTTATCTTCCTGTCGCCTGCACTGTGAAGCAGAAAGACTGGCAGAAGCAAGAGAGACAGTGGTTAGAACTGCAGACAACAGCCCCATCTACAGATACCGGGATGTCAAGGTGTCACCATAGATGATATATTTTTCATATCTGGAATTTATCTTGATGGCATCTTCTTAATATGTGGATCAGATATATTTAAAAAGGGATATTTTTACTGTAATGGTTAAAAAATAGTTTTTCTTTAGATGTTCAATAACCAAGTAAATGAATAAATGAATGAATGAAAGTGTTTAAACGTGAAATCAAAAGGAACAACAACAAAGTTGAAATACGACTTTTTTTTTTATATAAAACCTCTTATCCACTAGTTTGTGTTCACAATATTTAATTAACATTTTAATGGTGATTTGTATTTTATACTTCCTTAACAAATTTTAAATATTACATCCGGATACCAAAACTAACGCCCCGATTTCATATCTCACATACTCCTCTCATAAAAACATATTTACGTACAAACCCGGATTAATAAATGAAAATACATACAGATAACTTCAACACATTCTATGATCTATCCCAATAATGCATCGTTGGGATAGATCAACAAGACCAAATGCATAAATGTGATATGATGAATAATGTTCCAAGCTTGGAAAATCTCATGGAGCAAATTTCCATCCGTCATCTGAGAACAGTTTCTCACAACCGTTGCTACAAGAAACAATTCAACTCCAACTCCTGTCAGCAAGTTTTACAAAGGTTTGGTCATTAACTGATGCATCCAAAAGTTGGACGCAAAAGAACTGGAGTGGCAAACTCCTACTCCAACAAACTACCTAGAGGACACAGCGAACTTGGTGGTGGCAGCATCATGTTGTGGGCATGCAGGGAAAGTGAAGCTGGTCAGAGTTGACTGGAGGATGGATTGAACTAAATATAGTGAAAACCTGAAAGAAAATATGTTAAAAGTGTAAAAAAAAAAAAAAAAACTTGAAGCAGAATCCTAAACAGAGCTACAATGAAATAGTTCAAATCTAAATATTTGTGCCAGTTTAAAAAATGTGAATTTCCTATCACTCAGTGACTTTTAACAACAGAACATAAAGTAAACCATGCACCTACTTTTTTCACTCTTGCATTATTAGACATTTTATGTTTTTCTTACAGTTTAAGTTGCCAAAACATTGCTACAATTTTGTTCTTGAAAGTAATATTTTACTTAAAAACAATAATAATAGTCTTGTTTCTGTGTCACTTAATCTTTGGCATATTTTGATTTGTACACTTATTCAAGATGTCACTTTAAAGCAAAGATATTCTTAGTTTTCTACTTTACAGAATTATCTTCTGTTGTATATATATCCCTCACATTATTGTTTAGAATAAACTTTAAAAAATTTTTTACCACAACATAAATAATTTATCTGCAAAATCATTTGAGGCCCCTACAAATGCCATAGATGCAGAGAGTGAAAAGTTCCACTGGTGTGTAAATTTCACAATGTAAATCCAAATTATTTCACTGTATTTTTCTCTGATATTACAGAAAGAATGAAAAATACAGTCGGTAAATATTCCCAGTTTACATTTTTGAAGTACTTCGTTAAGGCGCATCATTGGTCTTGTCTTCAACCCAGGGATTTGAAAGAAGAAAAAGAAAAAACAGCTTGCATTGACCTTCAAATCATCATAAACACGACCCCGTCCCTTTAGCTGAATATGAAGTGACTTGCAGATCAACAAACCATCAGGCTGACAGCCCTAACCTATCTGCCATTAGCCTGTCGAGATACCACACTTTGTTTTAATTCACCATCTTTCAGAGTGTCACACTTTATATTCCCTGGCATGGTCGGGCTACATGCAGATGCATAATTTATCTCAAATTAGCGCCTATTTGAGTAAGCATCAAAGCAAGGCGGCTAAGGTTGGAGGAGAGCTTAAGGAACCGCAGGGAAACCATCGACAGGATTAATGCAGGAGATTTTTATAAGAAATTACTGGCTTAATGAAGTGGATAAAAAAAGCTGTCAGTGTTTTATTGCATCTAAATTGTGTGGAAGTGGTGTTTAGCTGTCTCGCCTACATCCCACATAATGGGTCGTGACAGTAGCTGTGAGGCTTATTTAACTTAACTGGTGAATAACTTGCATGGCGAAGCTATTCACCGAGTTGTTTTTAGATGCACTACACCAGGGAGGGGAGTCGTTCCCCCCCCCGCCGTACTCCTCCTCATTTATTGTGATACCTCATCAGAAGAACAGTCAGCTGAAGAAAACTGATAATCAGCCGTTCTGTTGTGTGGAAAATTGTTTTTATTGAAATTTAAATGCTATAGGAATAATTTTTTATTATTGTTATTATTAAGGAAATTACAAAGCAGAATAAGGTAAATTTAGCATTTTTTATTGCCATAGTGAATATTCATAAGAGGCTGTTATTTTAGATGCTTCCTACATTACTGGAAATATCTAATAACTTATGACTGAGTTGCACAAGTAATTGCGGAGGTCCAGCAACTGATGCTTGAACTGGATCCCATTGGACAAAAAAAAAAAAAACTGAGCAGGAGGTATTTCAGCGGTCCTGCATCGCCATCTTGTGCCTGTCTGAAGTATTACCTTCTGAGATGAGTTCTACCCAAGTCTTCCAGATGGTAAAACGATGCTGACGGCCAGGTGCTCATTAAAGCTTCAATGTATAACTGTGACCAAATGTGGATTAGAGAAAATCCACAATAAACTCAAACTTGCGTAACTTCTTTGTTTTTTGATTATTCCACCATGACAAAAAAAAAAAAGTTTCACTTTTAAGTGCATAAAGCTCTGAGATGAAATGCATGTGTCTTACAAAATTTGTATTTTATACATTGCTGTGAACTCTCCTGTCCCCTTTTTTCTGCCCCGCATATTTTAGATAACCAAGATGAAGACCATATTTAAAGGATTATTTCATTTGTGACAAGGAAAGACTGTCCAAACCAACAAGGCACGATGTGGAAAAGGTTAACCACCCCCTTGTTAACTGTAATAAGGAGGCAGCCTAATGCAGTTTGATTGGTTCTGTTGGTTCCAAATATTTTAAAGTAATCGGTACAGGAATAATGAAGGTTATTTTAGCCAATGTCTCTTAAACCAAAACATCTTTTTTCATTTTAAATGTAACAATTGAAGACATTTAGGCATGGGCAGACCTATAAGTTATAAAAATGAAGAAATGAAAGCATGGGCATGATATTAAAATCAACTTTGATCATTTTGTCCTTTAGATATAGATGCATCTTTTTATTTTTTCAATTCATTTTTATTTTAACTTTTGATTACAATGAGCAGTGTTACGGCTGAGAACAATACAAGTTAACAACACACTGATGAACACATGCTTGGAATGGGATCTTGTTCTTGTGAACCCTTGTGATTAGAATTAAAACACAAAATATGAGTAAAAAAATATCTGGGCGTGTATTCGAAATTACAGGTTGAGACACGTGCAAGTGTTAACCAGTTTATTTTAGAATATGAAAATCCTTTTCTGTTGCAGTTGTGGTGTATTTTTTTAAAGAATCTGTCATTTCCTCACATTTTTTTTGGCAATGCTTTATACAAAAGCCAAACATCTTTTTTAAAGCCATCACAATCCAAATAAAAAGTTGAATTTTTCAGCAGAGCATTACAGAAAAAAAAAAAAAAAAATTGAACTGATTGAGAAGCGTTTAATTATGCTGAGCTGCTGTTATCGATATGAAGGCTGTAAACTTTGAGTAAAAGATGCTTTACTGCAAGAAGCTCAGAAGGGGATTAAATCAAAACCTTTAACTGAAATCCAAACACTCATAGACAGATATCCACTCTCTCACAACGACATGGATAGATGGACAGCACAATCCCTTTTGAGTCTGTTCACAACACCCGTTTCCCTTCACAAGTGAATCCAAAAAGTGAGTTTTGGGCAGCATTAGGTTAGGGGGTGGTGTGAAGTGAGGTAGGAAGAAGCTTGCGCTGCTGTCAAGCTCCATCTACCTAAGGCCAACTCTGAACGTGTGTGCATTAGGACTAGCAGTTCACATCCACAGTCTGTTTTTTTTTTTTTTTTTTTCTTTTTTTTTTCCAGCACAGAAATGGTCGGGTTCGTCACTACACAGGATGAGGACGTCACAATTTGTCCAGCAGAGGTCAGACAGTGTTGTTATTTTCCTTCCTCCTCGAATCGTCCGCGTAAAAACAACCAGCAGCTCAGTGTTGCAGCCAAAGACTGTTTTAGGAAATCAGAGGGAAAAATGCTGAACCTGTTCCAGTCAAGGTGCGGTTTCTCCACTTCGACACAGCCAACACAGGGCTTTGCATTCACCTAAAGCAGATGCCTCCGTCCGTGCGTCACTGCTGCTTCCTTCCTCGAGGCATCCATCACTGCTTTAGGTGCTGGGAGATAGGGGATGCGACTGGAGCGCCAGAATCGTAGTCTCTCCTCCACAGACTCCCCATCTTTCCTTGTTCCTCCCTCCATTTTTCAAGTTTTTATCTATTCTTTGTTATTGAAGCAGCAGTGTTTACAAGGTGTTGCGCGGCGTGCCGTTCAACGCGACCGCCTTGTTGCAGGGGGAGCCAACCGCCTGCGAGCCTAAAGGACGCTGAGCGGAAACTCCGACCTCAAATACTTCGTGGATGGCCTTCCGGAAACAATGGAAGTTGTAGTCTATTAATCCTGGGGATATAATAAAAAAAACAAGTATTCAGCATATGTGCATGGTTTGAAAACTTTCTAAATAAAATGACACAAAAAACAACAACTGAGATCACCCAGGCATGATCTCAGTTTTAAGTATGGTTGATGCATAAATACAAAAAATAAAATAAATTACAGTGGAGTTTAGTTTTTTGTCATCTTTAAATATGGGACCAGGAAAATCCAAAGACTGCAAGAAGGATGAAGAACTGAGAGATGCAAGGATCAGTTCATGGAAGGACAAACAGATGAATAAACATACAGACTGACAGCTTGAGGGGTAGAAAGAGAAACTGATGAACAGATGAATAGATGGAGATACAAACTGACGGATGGACGGATGAACAGATAGATGGATAGCAATTTACTTTTATAAAGCGTGACACTTAAATTGCCTTTGAGTTCGTTTGAGTTGATTCTTCAACACACTGATGATGGAACAGAGTCCATCTCCCCTTATCCAATAAGGAATTCTCTACTATTTAAAACACTATGAGAATCTTGTCATTTGCAGAATAGTCTCACAAGTCACAACTTTTAGTAGAAGTCCACACCACTCACAACCAGAAGGAATGTTTCTTTAGTTTCCACAGCAAGATAAAAACACCCTTGCAACAACAGGGCATTGCTTTGGCAAGAACTTGCAGAATTCATTGAGTGTAGAAAGTATCAAGGATATCAAATATGTGTCCAAGTTTTTTTTTTTTTTTTTGTAGTAAATTTTAGGCTTGGACTTTAAATGTTCTTCTCTTTAACAAATTTGTCAGGCAGAGCATGAATTACTTACCAAATGTCATCAAGCAAGAAAGATTTTTCATACATGTCTCTCATCCTGTATCTAACTTGGCCAGGATCACTGTACGCCTCCCGTTAATGTGTGGAAATGTTTTGGTTTTAACATGCGTCTGTTTTGGTGCAGGTTTACCTTTACGCTCGAAGCTCTCCTCCCTCAGGATGCAGACCAAAGCAAGGAACTTTGTGACCTCTTTAAGGTACAGCACAGTTGTGTTGTTGAGCTTGATGATCGCCATAGACTCCTTGTCATAGGCGCTGCCGCTGCCATCCTCCCTCAGACTAGTGCAGCATGAAGACAGCAGTGTAAATTTAAGAGCTGAGGAATTTACTGCAGCTCTTTTATGAGGTCATTTTTATCCATTACCAAGTTATTATAAAACAAAACATTCATGAACCCCCCACCCATACATCTTGAGGTGTTCAACATACCCGTATATACAAGAGACATCAATAACCACATCGATCATATCACAGCACAGTTCGTAGGACTGCATATCTACAGGCGAGCTGTCTGTGGCGATGTAGATCTTACTGACCACGTCGAACAGAAAGGCCTTCTCGATCCCTGAATTCTGGCAGGAACAAAGAACAAAATATGACAAAACATGAAGCGGGTATAAAAAAAAAAAAGAAGAAGAAAAGAAAAGAAATATTCATCATGTGGACATTTATAATCAGAGTACCGCAATTAAAAAATAAGTTAATTCTTCTACTAGTCCAGTGGTTTTCAAAACAGATAACCGAGGAAATATTTTCACAACAGAGGTTGTCAAAAATGCCTTTGCACATTTACAAAACTATTAAACTTTTACTGAACTACAAAAAAAACGGAGAAGGATAAAGCTCATCAAATCCAGCAGTCGCATAAAGAGAGCTCATATGTTGCTTCGTGGACAAATCCTTTGGTGTTTTATTACCTCACATCATTAACAGAGGACAAACAACTGTTAATAGGAATGACCTGGTAACGGAAATCAGCTGATTTTCAGTTGGGGTTTTTTTCCTTCCTAATCAGTGAATGTGTCACACTCCTCAGTGTGGAGGTTGCTATTGAGTGAAGAGGATTAAAACTCTTAGCTTGTTTTTTTTTGTGTTTTTTTTGCTTCCCCACACCCCACACAATTCTACCCCAATTTAATTTCATTAAAACAATTCATGTACATAGCTATGGAATATCATTGTATTAATTTGATTAGTACAATGATTATGGATATAAACACAAAAATTCTCAACCACATTTCCTTACAGAAGATTTTTATCTGAGGCAGGACATAATTAGAGCATAGTTGCTATGCAACGTCTTGTTCTGTTTTTTTTTTGTTTTGTTTTTTTCCCCATTTACATCATCTGTAATGAAATATTTGAAAAAAAGGAAATGGGGGGGGGGGATCTTCCTAAAACATTGAAAAGACTAAAATTGCAAATAGCAGACCAAGAGGCAAGATGACCAGCAACCCTTTATGACGTAATAAATGTACTCTGTTTTAACTTGCATCTAGCTAAAACAAACCAATCACTTAAAGTATATTTGTGTTTATAGCTCATCATTTCAGGACAAAATATTGATAAACATGTCCTAAAATAAACCTCAGAGGATTTGCACAGTCATATCCTCAGGATCAGCTATGACCTGCCTCAAGAAGAATGCCTCACTTAAATCACAACCAGGAACACAGGAGAGAGTTGGCTGTTTTCTACTTACAGAAATGAAGATATTTAAGAGGTTCTCCAAGGTGGGCAGCTGGGGGATGAGCTTCTGTACCACTTTACTGAAGGCCTCAAAGATGGAGTGGTCATAAATACTTGTCAAATAGAAGCTGGATGAAAGAGGCATAAAGGAAACCAATAAGCCATTAGCCTCGAGACACTTCCTTCAAAATGATTAAATAACCAGTTAGGAAAAAAAAAATTACAAGATCAAGAGAAAACAGATAAATGACTGAATTTCAAGCTGATAAGAGACAGATAGTACAACAAACTGTTGCAGTTGTGACTGCTGCAAAATGAATGGGTTTTAGTGACAGAAATATAAAAACAAAAGCTTTATTTCTATGCGGAAGTGGTGGCTTGATCCAAAGAGAGTTTTCAGCAACCACTGCAAAGAAGTGTAATTTTACCAAGCAGAGCAGTTGAGAAACAACCAGAGACCTTTTTGCTCCATCATATATCCAGAACGGATCTGGGCGTCTAAAAGAAATAAAACAATCTTACCCAACATAAAACACACTGCTGCCTATGTCACCAGGGCTCCAAAATGATCTGAAAGGCTGCTGCAGAGCTGACTAGCAAGCACAGCCAGATGAAATAAATTAAAGCAAATAGTTGTTTTTATAGGGTGATGTTTTATTGTCGTTTTATTTGTAGAGCTCAAACAAAAATTTAGAAATAATATGAAGCCATTTTTTTTTTAATTGGATAAATTATTTCAGTGTTAAAAAAAATAAATAAATTCTTTCCCTTTTATTTCCCTGATCGTCCCCCAAAAGGGAAAAAAAATAAATAAATGAAATCACACAACACAACCAAAACTCAGTTTAATTTAAACGAAGACAAATATAATCATGCCATTAATAATTTCTTTTTTGAGGTTCTAATGCAAGTCAAAATCCATCCCGTAAAAATAGAACGCCACATCAGACAGACGTTTTGTTTGTACATGTAAACTATGAGCCTGCTGTGGCAGTGCAACAGTATCTGACGCATGAGTCAGTGTCACTTCATTAGAAGAGCAAAGAGGAATTTGACAAGAACAGCAGCGTATCACCTTACACTGCACTTCAGTCAGGTTTCACACCATGCCATAGACCTATAGTATAAGTTTTAAAATTATATCGATTTGACAGTTGAATCAGGAAATGTTTCACTACTTTTAATCAGCAGCCTTTGGTACTGTGGATCTTTGAATTCTGGCATCATGCGAGTTGGTATTAAAAAATATAACATTGTCCTGGTTTACATTAGAGTTTTTCCTAGTTATTTCTGTACCGTGGGCCACCTCTACATTGGGGTCCCTCAAAGGTCCACACTGGGTCCACTGCGGTTTATCTTGCATTTGTTTCCACTGGGGCCTCTTTTCAGGAAGCACAATGTTCATTTTCATAGCATTTTGCTTATTCTTTTAGTCTGTAGTTGACTCTAGTTGACTAGAGTGTGAAGCACTCTAGTCAACTGGTGTTTATGGATTTGCAAAGTGAAAAACTTGACCGTGTTGAATGATTGAGTAAAGTACAAAATGACATAAGAATCCACAGTCTTACACACTACACACCGTACTTTAGACCTGTTCAAAAAGAAGCTAGCTTTGACTCAAAATAAGTCATTGTGTTTGTGGCAACATGTGACTGTGGTTGCCACTACTTCCAGACCACAAAAAAAGATGAACACAATAGATCAAACCTTTAAGCTCAAAAGAAAAAGAAGAAGCAGGTCACGTTTATCTGACACGAGTCGAGGTCACATGGAAAGAAATTACTACAAGCATTAAAACTTTTATGAACTACGGTGTCTATAAAAAGCATTCACCACCTTAGATGTTTCACTCTTTTTACAAATCAATCATGATCAGCATAATTTGGATGTTTTTACAGAAAATACAAAAAAAGCTTTAATGTCAAAGGTCCAGTCAATTGATGCTATGTACTATGCTGTGGAAATTATTTATCCCTTTGATTTTTTTTTTTATCTTAAATGTTTTGGTTTTTCAGATTTTTATATGTGAAATTATAATTTAGTTATATTAAGAAAAAATGCTGTCTAACCCATCCTTCACCATCCATTATTTATGCTCTTCAAAACAGTCAATGTCTCCATGGGGAATTGTAAGGTAAACATCAGACTCACATTTGCCAAAAAACCCAAAAACAAAATAATACAAAAATAAAACTTTCTGCAGGACAGTGATCCACAGCAGGCTGACATTTTTTAAGGATTCCCGTTGGTCACGGGATTTCCCCAGGACTCCCACAGGATGGGAGTAAACATTACTTTTAATTATTTAAGAGGATCAAAAGTTAACAGGAGCAGACAAGAGTGGGAACTAGCCAAGAGACAAAATCACGATGACGACAAATGAAACATAGGACAGGCGCCGCCAATTAGTTTTTTTAATAAGCCTACACTTTAAGGCATTTTTACCTTAAATAAAGTCACCATTTAAAAACTGAATTTTGTTTTTAGTCGTTTCTGTCTGACATTTAAATCTTTTTTACAGCACTGCTCAATGAAGAAAAGACTCAATACCCTCTTTGCGATGGAGCAATAGTTATGTGAAAGTGTGGAAAGAGAGGGTTAAATGCACTCGACTGAATCTTTTAGATATATTCTAATTAATTATTTTAGTTTAATCCTTTACTAATGTCAAGCAGCCACTTTGCTTGCGTAACAAATATTAAATCAGATTTACCTAAGGTGCAGCTTCTCTAAACTTGCATCGGCCAGATCGTCGTTGGCTCTTTGATGGATGTCTCTCTGCGTTTCAATCTTGTGATCGTCTGAAAGGCCATCCACTTTGTGGATAAACACCTCAAAGTTGATCTCTGGATTGACCCTGTAGGCCCGTGACACGGTGAGATGGAGCCGTCCCAGAGCCTCCATGTAATCATCCTGCAGTGGAGGATTTGTGGTTTTAATAATGAGTTTGCACAAACAGAAAGTCGGTCGCAGCATAGCATGAAGAAGAGAAAGAAAGGAACATAAAGGCCAAAAAATGTTTAATTAAAGATGTCTGATGTATTTTAAGTTAGAATACAACAGACCATACTGTAAAGGACTGTGTGTTGCAGCTTCTGTCATAAAGGTAGCTTTCATCCTAATAAGCATGCTTCACCATGTTGTAAAACATGAGTTATGAAGAAATACACTTCTGCACTCTTTCCTGAACATCAAGAGGAAAACTGATTTGCTCCAGTAAAAACAGCTAAAACAGATTGAATTGGATGCACCTCGACCACAAACAAGCCCTGAAATCCGATCAGCTTCTGCTTTTACTGGAGAAGAGATCAGTACTTGAAAGCATTTTGAGTCGTGTGGACTGCACGCTCTAAGAGCCCATTTGCTGGTGGTAATAAGCTTCTGGTAAACATTAACTGCAAGAATGACATAGTATTGTTTTATTTTCAGTAAGTAGAAAAAAAAAAGATGACAATGACTCAGATTTTCTTTGTTGATTATACTGAATGAAATAGCTGCTCATAGAAAATCCCAAAAGGAAAAAAAAAAAAAAAAAAAAAAAAAAAAAACCCCGTTTTTTTCCCCCCCTGGGCATCGGGGAAAAAAAACGGCGCCCCGGTCCCC